CGTAGCGTCTTCCCGTAGCGTCTTCCCGTAGCGTCTTCCCGTAGCGTCTTCCCGTAGCGTCTTCCTGTAGCGTCTTCCCCGTAGCGTCTTCCTGTAGCGTCTTCCCGTAGCGTCTTCCCGTAGCGTCTTCCCGTAGCGTCTTCCCGTAGCGTCTTCCCGTAGCGTCTTCCTGTAGCGTCTTCCCGTAGCGTCTTCCCGTAGCGTCTTCCCGTAGCGTCTTCCCGTAGCGTCTTCCCGTAGCGTCTTCCCGTAGCGTCTTCCTGTAGCGTCTTCCTGTAGCGTCTTCCCGTAGCGTCTTCCTGTAGCGTCTTCCCGTAGCGTCTTCCCGTAGCGTCTTCCCGTAGCGTCTTCCCGTAGCGTCTTCCTGTAGCGTCTTCCTGTAGCGTCTTCCTGTAGCGTCTTCCTGTAGCGTCTTCCCGTAGCGTCTTCCCGTAGCGTCTTCCCGTAGCGTCTTCCCTGTAGCGTCTTCCCGTAGCGTCTTCCTGTAGCGTCTTCCTGTAGCGTCTTCCTGTAGCGTCTTCCTGTAGTAGCGTCTTCCCGTAGCGTCTTCCCGTAGCGTCTTCCCGTAGCGTCTTCCTGTAGCGTCTTCCCGTAGCGTCTTCCCGTAGCGTCTTCCTGTAGCGTCTTCCTGTAGCGTCTTCCTGTAGCGTCTTCCTGTAGCGTCTTCCCGTAGCGTCTTCCCGTAGCGTCTTCCTGTAGCGTCTTCCTGTAGCGTCTTCCCGTAGCGTCTTCCTGTAGCGTCTTCCTGTAGCGTCTTCCTGTAGCGTCTTCCTGTAACGTCTTCCGTAGCGTCTTCCCGTAGCGTCTTCCTGTAGCGTCTTCCTGTAGCGTCTTCCTGTAGCGTCTTCCTGTAGCGTCTTCCCGTAGCGTCTTCCCGTAGCGTCTTCCTGTAGCGTCTTCCCTGTAGCGTCTTCCCGTAGCGTCTTCCTGTAGCGTCCTTCCCGTAGCGTCTTCCTGTAGCGTCTTCTTCCCGTAGCGTCTTCCCGTAGCGTCTTCCTGTAGCGTCTTCCCGTAGCGTCTTCCTGTAGCGTCTTCCTGTAGCGTCTTCCCGTAGCGTCTTCCTGTAGCGTCTTCCTGTAGCGTCTTCCTGTAGCGTCTTCCTGTAACGTCTTCCTGTAGCGTCTTCCTGTAACGTCTTCCTGTAACGTCTTCCTGTAGCGTCTTCCTGTAACGTCTTCCTGTAGCGTCTTCCTGTAACGTCTTCCTGTAACGTCTTCCTGCCTGTATTAGGAGACCACAGCGGCGTCTGGTTCCTGGACCTGAAGAGCGTTCTCTGGCAGCACGGGTCCGGGTGAGCCCCCCGCCAAGGCCGATGTCGTCATGACGATGGACTCCGGCGACTTCACTAAGATGTTTGCAGGTGATTTGAAGCGACGGGACGCGCGCGCCCTGCTGATGCTGTCTCCATGGTAACGGCTACCTGCTGTGTCTGCAGGGCAGCTGAAGCCGACCATGGCCTTCATGACGGGGAAGCTACGCATCAAAGGAGACATGACGCTCGCCATCAAGCTGGAGAAGCTGATGGGCCGCATGAACAAGGCCAAGCTGTGAGGCCCCGCCCTCTGGGGAGAGGCCCCGCCCTCTGGGGAGAGCCCCGCCCTCTGGGGAGAGGCCCCGCCCTCTGGGGAGAGGCCCCGCCCTCTGGGGAGAGGCCCCGCCCTCTGGGGAGGCCCCGCCCTCTGGGGGGAGGCCCCGCCTCCTCACCATTTCTAGCTGTTCAGGTTGCCTTAACAACGGACTCACACCTCGATATAGCGCCAGCCGCTTTGGACCGTGTGGATGTTGCACAGGAACTGATTCTCTTACCGCGACTAACTGCTGATTGTGTTACCATGGGAACAGAAAATAAAGGAATTAAATGGACTCAGGTTTAGTTTTTACAGCAAAATGACAACAGAGATGGTTTAATCTGAGCAGGTGAAATGCTAACTCCAAGGCTAACTCCAAGGCTAGCTCCAGGGCTAGCTCCAAGGCTGGTTCCAGGGCTAGCTCCAAGCCTAGCTCCAAGGCTAGCTCCAGGGCTAGCTCCAAGCCTAGCTCCAAGCCTAGCTCCAAGGCTAGCTCCAGGGCTAGCTCCAAGCCTAGCTCCAAGGCTAGCTCCAGGGCTAGCTCCAAGGCTGGTTCCAGGGCTAGCTCCAAGCCTAGCTCCAAGGCTAGCTCCAGGGCTAGCTCCAAGCCTAGCTCCAAGGCTAGCTCCAGGGCTAGCTCCAAGCCTAGCTCCAAGGCTAGCTCCAGGGCTAGCTCCAAGGCTAGCTCCAGGGCTAGCTCCAAGGCTAGCTCCAGGGCTAGCTCCAAGGCTGGTTCCAGGGCTAGCTCCAAGGCTAGCTCCAGGGCTAGCTCCAGGGCTAGCTCCAAGGCTAGCTCCAAGCCTAGATCCAAGGCTAGCTCCAGGGCTAGCTCCAAGGCTGGTTCCAGGGCTAGCTCCAAGGCTAGCTCCAGGGCTAGCTCCAAGGCTAGCTCCAGGGCTAGCTCCAGGGCTAGCTCCAAGCCTAGCTCTAGGGCTAGCTCCAAGGCTAGCTCCAGGGCTAGCTCCAGGGCTAGCTCCAAGGCTAGCTCCAGGGCTAGCTCCAAGGCTAGCTCTAGGGCTAGCTCCAAGGCTAGCTCCAGGTCATCATGGGTTACTGTCAGTGGTTGTATGTGAAGAACTCACATCCATGTTCTTTATAAATATTGATACAATAAATACAAAGATGTAAGAAAGTAATAATATAGATCCCTTTCTAAATATTATGTATAATATTGTCAGAAATATTGTATGACATCATAAAGAGCTGAGCGGGCCATGTTACCATGGAAACAGTGCCGAGTGCAAAGCCCGGAGGAACCAATGAAACCAGACGATGCTGAAGCTCCGTCTGCATCACTAGATCCACTGAGGTCAGGAGGGCAGGATGGAAGGTGACCGCTGAGGCGTCCAGGTCCGGTCCGGTCCAAGTCCGTCCTCTGTGTCTCTGTCCGTCCTGCTGCTCCAATCAGTTGATGAAACAGCAGCAGAACTCCTGCGGTTCCCTGGAAACGGTTTGGACCCGGGCCAGCGCCTGTGCACTTCTGTGGAAGGAAACCAGACAAAGCGAAAGAGTTCTGAGAGAACAACAAGAGTCCGGATCCGGGCCAACATTCCTGAACAAAGACGGGCCTGCTCAGGTGGAAGGAACCGGCACCTACTGCTGGCACCACACCGGGCTGCAGAACCAACAGAACCAGACAGAACCAACAGAACCAACCAGAACCAATAAGAACCAACCAGAACCAACAGAACCAACCAGAACCAGGCAGAACCAATCAGAACCAACAGAACCAATCAGAACCAACAGAACCAGACAGAACCAATCAGAACCAACCAGAACCAATCAGAACCAACCAGAACCAATAAGAACCAATCAGAACCAACAGAACCAGACAAAACACTTTGTTTCCCTAGAAAATGTTTTTAGCTTTTGCTCAGATTCGAATCATTGAGCTCAGTAAAGAAATGATTCACGGTTTGGAGTTTTGTAGAGAATTAGCATCAAACTTCACTGATAGGTTTTTACTTTCGAGGAATTTGAGGTTTTATTTAAAACCAGTTTTACTCAAGTTTTCTTCCAGTGGTTCTGGTTGGTACTGGCCCATTTGAACAGGGTGGGACTAAGGCTACTGTCTGGACCTCTGCTCTGACCTCTGACACAGGTGGAGGTTGCTCCATCCACACCACCCACCCGAGTGGATGAGGCTTAGTGCCATCAGCTGTCAGCGGGCTGAGCAGCGCGGTGCAGAGGAGAGAGAACTGTTGGATCATCCCGTCTGACCAGAACCGCATGTTTGTTTTCCTCAGACTCGGTTTCTGAAGAACCGTCAGCCGGATGGATGAGGCGCAGTCCTTCATCTGTTCATCAAAAACAAATTCTCTGAAACACCTTTACAGGAATCAGAGACTTTAGTTCCTACTGGTGATTTCATCTGATGGATGAAGACCCTTTAAGCTCCAGGCCCCCTGCTGGCCGTTAGCAGAACTTCATGTCTTCAGCCTCAGTTTTTTTTGATTCCCAGAATTTATGCTCATTCTTTTATTAACAGGGGTTGGTCTCTGGTTCTGGTTGGTTCTGGTTGGTTCTGGTTGGTTAAGATTGGTTCTTATTGGTTCTGGTTGGTTCTTATTGGTTGTGTCTGGTTCTGGTTGGTTCTGCCTGGTTCTGGTTGGTTCTGATTGGTTCTGTTGGTTCTGATTGGTTCTGCCTGGTTCTGTTGGTTCTGATTGGTTCTGATTGGTTCTGTTGGTTCTGATTGGTTCTGTTGGTTCTGATTGGTTCTGATTGGTTCTGGTTGGTTCTGTTGGTTCTGGTTGGTTCTGTTGGTTCTGATTGGTTCTGGTTGGTTCTGTCTGGTTCTGTCTGGTTCTCAGACAGAACCAGTTGGTTCTGATTGGTTCTGCCTGGTTCTGTTGGTTCTGATTGGTTCTGATTGGTTCTGTTGGTTCTGATTGGTTCTGGTTGGTTCTGTCTGGTTCTGTTGGTTCTGATTGGTTCTGGTTGGTTCTGTTGGTTCTGTCTGGTTCTGTTGGTTCTGATTGGTTCTGATTGGTTCTGTTGGTTCTGATTGGTTCTGTTGGTTCTGATTGGTTCTGCCTGGTTCTGGTTGGTTCTGTTGGTTCTGGTTGGTTCTGATTGGTTCTGCCTGGTTCTGGTTGGTTCTGTTGGTTCTGATTGGTTCTGATTGGTTCTGTTGGTTCTGATTGGTTCTGCCTGGTTCTGGTTGGTTCTGTCTGGTTCTGTTGGTTCTGATTGGTTCTGGTTGGTTCTGTTGGTTCTGTCTGGTTCTGTTGGTTCTGCAGCCCGGTGTGGTGCCAGCAGTAGGTGCCGGTTCCTTCCACCTGAGCAGGCCCGTCTTTGTTCAGGAATGTTGGCCCGGATCCGGACTCTTGTTGTTCTCTCAGAACTCTTTCGCTTTGTCTGGTTTCCTTCCACAGAAGTGCACAGGCGCTGGCCCGGGTCCAAACCGTTTCCAGGGAACCGCAGGAGTTCTGCTGCTGTTTCATCAACTGATTGGAGCAGCAGGACGGACAGAGACACAGAGGACGGACTTGGACTGGACCGGACCGGACCTGCTTCCTCTCTGCCTTGGAGAAGAACCAACATTTCTACATCACATTTCTGCTTTGCGGATCAGCAGGTACTGGAACCATAGATCTGTTCTAGAACCATAGATCTGTGTTCTCCACTTGGTCTAAGTCTTTACTGGTTCTCAGAGCTGCTGGGCAACTGGAAGCTCTGGTTTCCAGTTGGTAAGCTGGTCTGTTTCATGTCCCATTGCTTCCACATATGGAGCGATGACGGCTTTCATGCCTCCAGCGTCCCGGTGGACGCCCGGGGCTTCATCAGTGACAGGACGGGGCGGCGTGGCTAAACTCCAACCAGGTTTTTTGAATGACAGATGAGATAAATATGAAGGAACTCCGGTGCTTTTAAAGCTTCCAGTAACTAACATAGTTCATCTGCAGATAAATGTTTTTCTTTGGAACATTTCTGCAGCAAATGCTGACATCATGTAACCATGGATATCAGTGCAGGATTAAAAGGTGGAGATTAGTTCAGTTTGTCTGTTGATCAGCGATTCCTGACTGAAGAGCTTGTATTCTTGGAGGTGAACCAGCAGCAAGGAACGGTTTTTATCAGTCTGGTGACTCAGGACGTCAGTAAACTCCACATCAGGGCGACGATCGCTTCACCAAAGGTCATGATGATGTCACTCAGGTCAAACGTCGGCTGCAGAAACACTTCATCCTTTTTCCAAAAACTTACTGGAGTGAATGTAACTAGTTACCCCACTCTGGTTGTGGGCGGGGCCAGTTGGAGGTCTGCCACTCTGATTGGCTGTGAAATTTGCGGTGGTGTCTCAGGGCGTTCAGTGGGTTGCCAGTTCGAATCCTCGTTCCCTCAAACCAGGTTCTGCTTTGGAGGAGAGAGCTGTGGGACCTGTCTGCGGTTCTGTTGGGTCAGGTCGGTTCTGGTGGGCTCGGTGCAAACCTGCCGTTTGGGTTTCAGATCTTGTGAGTGTTGGGGTCCCTCAGGGCAACGTTCTGAGCTCTGGCACAGCGGCGGGTCAGCAGGTTTTCCTGCAGCCTGGATGCAGATCCAGGTTTCAGCTCCTTAGCAGGATCAGATGGACAGATGGACAGACTGACCGACGGACAGACGGGAAGACAGACAGACGGACAGAAAGATGGACAGATGGACAGACTGACCGACGGACAGACGGGAAGACAGACAGACGGACAGACGGGAAGACAGACAGTCGGACAGAAAGATGGACAGAGGGACAGAAAGATGGACAGATGGACAGACTGACCGACGGACAGACGGGAAGACAGACAGACGGACAGAAAGATGAACAGATGACAGACGGACAGAAAGATGGACAGATGGTCAGACGGGAAGACGGACAGATGGACAGACGGACAGATGGACAGATGGACAGACAGACAGATGGACAGACAGACAGATGGACAGACGCAGCCGTCAACCAAACTGCCTCCCAGGTCTTTACTGGTTTCCGTTTGATCCCAACAGAAGATGTTTGCGGATGAGACCAGCGCCGTGGTGAAGAACGTGGGAGCAGAGGAGGAGCTGATCTCCAACTCCAACCTCAACCACAAGGTGGAGCTGCTGACCCTGGTCCGGGTCAGCCAGGGCAGGTTCTTCAGTTACCCCAAGTACACGCCGGTGGACTGCACCTTACCAGAGCTGCTGGAGGACGAGGACTTCTCTGCAGGTGGGTTTCCTGACAGACACAGCAGCAGCACCTGGAGCCTTTCTGTGACCTTTAACCTTTCTGCCAGAGGTTGAAGAAGAACTGCTGGTGAAGGACTTCAAGACGTCGGTGGAGAGCAGCGGGAGCGGAGAGCTGGGCGGAGGACACCAAACGGCTGGCGAAGCGGCGATCTCTGCAAAGTGTGACTCTGTGGACGGCCTGGTGGAGCCGGTCAGCATCAAGAAGAAGAAAGCCAACCTGAAAGGCGTGAGGAAGACCTTCAACGGCAGGTGGGGCGCCATCCGGCTGTGGTACCGACCCGGTGGTCCGAACTGGTTTTGATGAGTTCCTCTGCTCATCATCTTTGTCAGGAAGCTTGAGAAAGGAAAGTTGAAGCTGCTGAAGATGAAGGAAGAGGACAAACTGGCCTTTGTCCACGAGACGCTTTACAACACCGGACCTGTGAGGATGATCCGGAGGTCTGCTCAGGACGGGTCCATTTCAGCCACGTACCAGAAGTTCCTGAAGCTGCTGGTCAAGGTGAGAAACCTGCCGAGTCCAGCACAGAACACCGCTTCCACACAGGAAGTAGGAAACCCTGACTTCCTGTTGGACCTTCAGCTCAGCCCCTGTAGGAGGTTGGACCTGGGGCCCCATCATGGCGCCATAGGAGGTTGGACCATGACATTAATTGTCCTCCTTTGTCTCCTTATCAGGGCAGCAGGACGGAGGAGACGACGTTCACCGTTCCAGAGAAATCCACCTTTGCGTTTGGACTTCAGGAGATCCTGTGGGACGACGAGACGATCAGTGAGGACAACGTCTCCCTGATGTTTGCTGTGTTTGTTTTGCAGTTTTCTCATCGTTTCTCCGTGTTTTAACCAGACATCCCGTTTGAACCCTGGGCTAACAGGAAGAACCTGGGTGAGTTCCTTCAGCTGCTCTGTAGCCAATCTGGGCCGACTGGCTGGTGAGTGAAGGTCCAAGTGAGAGACTCACTCTGAGCTGAGCTGGTTCGGAGCTGATGATGCGTCTGGGTTCAGTCGGGCTCAGGAGGCGTTGACTGGTCCCTCTCTGTAAGGCAGTGTCTCGGTTCCGGTCCTCAGGACCCTCATGTCTTCGGTGTTTCCCTTCTGTCTCATGGACTGAATCTCTGGGTGATCAACAGCCTGCTGTTCTTGATGGCTGCAGAAGAGGTCATGCTACCATTTGGGTCAGCAGTTCTGGAATAGAGACTGATCCAGAGAAGGACTGAGGACTGGAACTGAGAAGCTCTGATGTAAGGAGACAAATCATAGGTCTAGGAACCCCAGAGGAAAATCCTTCTGCATGTAGAGCAAAGATCATGATTATTGTTCTACTAAATCAGTGAAATGAATCTCACTGATTTGCTTAAACCTCGTTCTCTTCGTTCTCTTCGCTCTCATCGTTCTCGTCGTTCTCGTTGCTCAGTTCATCCTCAGGCGTTGAAACAAGCTGCATCCTAAATGCTCCTTCCTCACATTTCTGCTCTCAGTAAAAATCTGTTTCTTCTATGACGAATGAAAACCTGAAAACCTGATCAATTATTTTCTGAACTGTTTTGGGTTTGGATGAATCCGAGTCCTGTCTTCTGCTCTTTAACGGTTTGACTCCTGTTTCCAGGCCTGTTCACACACGACACAGTTAATCCAGATCAGCTGCAGGAGGCCAGAGAAGGTAACAGGAATTCTAAAACTTTGACAAAACTTTAATAATTACAGTTGTTCATGACGTGAAGCTCGTTCTGATTGGACCTTGTTCATCAGGACAACCTGATTGGTCAACAGAAAACCGGATGGGTTGTCTGGTTGATGCTTAACTAGTTAAACTAAACTGCTAAACTTAAAGGGACAAATGAAATCTCAATGCTCTTTCCATTCAGAAACTGTAAAATATGGTAAAATTAAACCGGTCCAGTCTGACCTGGATGATGGATGATGGATGGATGGATGGATGGATGATGGATGGATGATGGATGGATGGATGGATGGATGATGGATGGATGGATGATGGATGGATGGATGGATGATGGATGATGGATGATGGATGGATGATGGATGGATGATGGATGATGGATGGATGGATGGATGGATGATGGATGATGGATGGATGATGGATGGATGATGGATGGATGATGGATGATGGATGATGGATGGATGGATGATGGATGATGGATGGATGGATGATGGGATGGATGATGGATGGATGATGGATGGATGGATGATGGATGGATGGATGGATGGATGATGGATGGATGGATGATGGATGGATGATGGATGATGGATGGATGATGGATGGATGATGGATGATGGATGGATGGATGGATGATGGATGGATGGATGGATGGATGATGGATGGATGGATGATGGATGGATGATGGATGATGGATGGATGGATGATGGATGGATGATGGATGGATGATGGATGATGGATGGATGATGGATGGATGATGGATGATGGATGATGGATGATGGATGATGGATGATGGATGATGGATGGATGGATGATGGATGGATGGATGATGGATGGATGGATGATGGATGATGGATGGATGATGGATGGATGGATGATGGATGGATGATGGATGATGGATGATGGATGGATGGATGATGGATGGATGATGGATGGATGGATGGATGGATGATGGATGATGGATGGATGGATGATGGATGATGGATGGATGGATGATGGATGGATGGATGATGGATGGATGATGGATGGATGATGGATGGATGATGGATGGATGGATGGATGATGGATGGATGGATGGATGGATGATGGATGGATGGATGATGGATGGATGATGGATGATGGATGGATGGATGATGGATGATGGATGATGGATGGATGGATGATGGATGATGGATGGATGGATGGATGGATGATGGATGGATGGATGATGGATGATGGATGGATGGATGGATGGATGGATGGATGATGGATGGATGGATGGATGGATGATGGATGATGATGGATGGATGATGGATGATGATGGATGGATGGATGGATGATGGATGATGGATGGATGATGGATGGATGATGGATGGATGGATGGATGGATGGATGGGATGATGATGGATGGATGATGGATGGATGATGGATGGATGGATGGATGATGGATGATGGATGATGGATGGATGGATGATGGATGATGGATGGATGATGGATGGATGGATGATGGATGATGGATGGATGGATGATGGATGGATGGATGGATGGATGATGGATGATGGATGGGATGGATGGATGGATGGATGGATGATGGATGATGGATGGATGGATGATGGATGATGGATGGATGGATGGATGGATGGATGGATGATGGATGGATGGATGGATGGATGGATGATGGATGATGGATGGATGGATGATGGATGATGGATGGATGGATGGATGGATGATGGATGGATGATGGATGGATGGATGGATGGATGGATGGATGATGGATGGATGGATGGATGATGGATGGATGATGGATGGATGATGGATGGATGGATGATGGATGATGGTTAGATGGATGGATGATGGATGATGGATGGATGGATGGATGATGATGGATGGATGGATGATGGATGGATGATGGATGGATGATGGATGGATGATGGATGGATGGATGGATGATGGATGGATGATGGATGGATGATGGATGATGGATGATGGATGGATGGATGATGGATGGATGGATGATGGAGGATGGATGATGGATGGATGGATGATGGATGATGGATGGATGGATGATGGATGGATGATGGATGATGGATGGATGATGGATGGATGGATGATGGATGGATGGATGATGGATGATGGATGGATGGATGGATGATGGATGGATGGATGGATGATGGATGGATGGATGGATGATGGATGATGGATGGATGGATGATGGATGATGGATGGATGGATGATGGATGATGGATGATGGATGGGGATGATGGATGATGGATGGATGATGGATGATGGATGGATGGATGGATGATGGATGATGGATGGATGGATGATGGATGATGGATGATGGATGGATGGATGATGGGATGATGATGGATGGATGATGGATGATGGATGGATGGATGATGATGATGGATGGATGGATGGATGGATGATGGATGATGGATGATGGATGGATGATGGATGGATGGATGGATGATGGATGATGGATGGATGGATGATGGATGATGGATGATGGATGGATGATGGATGATGGATGATGGATGATGGATGATGGATGATGGATGATGGATGGATGGATGGATGGATGGTTAGATGGATGGATGGATGGGATGGATGATGGATGGATGGATGGATGGATGGATGGATGGATGGATGATGGATGGATGGATGGATGGATGATGGATGGATGATGGATGGATGGATGGATGATGGATGGATGGATGATGGATGGATGGATGGATGGATGATGGATGGATGGATGATGGATGATGGATGGATGGATGATGGATGGATGGATGATGGAGGATGGAGGATGGATGGATGGATGATGGATGGATGGATGATGGATGGATGGATGATGGATGATAGATGGATGGATGATGGATGGATGGATAATGGATGATGGATGGATGGATGATGGATGGATGGATGATGGATGGATGGATGATGGATGATGGATGGATGATGATGGATGATGGATGGATGGATGATGGATGATGGATGGATGGATGATGGATGGATGGATGGATGATGGATGATGGATGGATGGATGGATGGATGGATGGATGATGGATGATGGATGGATGATGGATGATGGATGGATGGATGGATGGATGATGGATGATGGATGGATGGATGATGGATGGATGATGAATGGATGATGGATGGATGATGGATGGATGATGGATGGATGGATGGATGGATGATGGATGGATGGATGATGAATGGATGATGGATGGATGATGGATGGATGATGGATGGATGGATGGATGGATGATGGATGGATGGATGATGGATGATGGATGGATGGATGATGGATGGATGGATGATGGAGGATGGATGATGGATGGATGGATGATGGATGGATGGATGATGGATGATGGATGGATGGATGATGGATGGATGGATGATGGATGGATGGATGGTTAGATGGATGATGATGGATGGATGATGATGGATGGATGGATGGATGGATGGATGACGGATGGATGGATGATGGATGGATGATGGATGGATGATGGATGGATGATGGATGGATGGATGGATGGATGATGGATGGATGGATGATGGATGGATGGATGATGGATGGATGGATGATGGATGATGGATGATGGATGATGGATGGTTAGATGGATGGATGATGGATGGATGGATGATGGATGGATGGATGGATGGATGGATGGATGGATGGATGGATGGATGGATGATGGATGGATGGATGATGGATGGATGATGGATGGATGATGGATGGATGGATGGATGATGGATGGATGGATGATGGATGGATGGATGGATGGATGGATGGATGATGGATGGATGATGGATGATGGATGGATGGATGATGGATGGATGGATGATGGAGGATGGAGGATGGATGGATGGATGATGGATGGATGGATGATGGATGGATGGATGATGGATGATAGATGGATGGATGATGGATGGATGGATAATGGATGATGGATGGATGGATGATGGATGGATGGATGATGGATGGATGGATGGATGGATGGATGGATGATGGATGATGGATGATGGATGATGGATGATGGATGGATGATGGATGATGGATGGATGGATGATGGATGGATGGATGGATGATGGATGATGGATGGATGGATGATGGATGATGGATGGATGATGGATGATGGATGGATGATGGATGATGGATGGATGGATGGATGGATGATGGATGATGGATGGATGGATGATGGATGGATGGATGGATGGATGGTTAGATGGATGGATGATGGATGGATGGATGATGGATGGATGGATGGATGATGAATGGATGATGGATGGATGATGGATGGATGATGGATGGATGGATGGATGGATGATGGATGGATGGATGATGAATGGATGATGGATGGATGATGGATGGATGATGGATGGATGGATGGATGGATGATGGATGGATGGATGATGGATGATGGATGATGGATGATGGATGGATGGATGATGGAGGATGGATGATGGATGGATGGATGATGGATGGATGGATGATGGATGATGGATGGATGGATGATGGATGGATGGATGATGGATGGATGGATGATGGATGATGGATGGATGGATGATGGATGGATGGATGATGGATGGATGGATGATGGATGGATGATGGATGGATGGATGGATGATGGATGGATGGATGATGGATGGATGGATGATGGATGGATGGATGGATGATGGATGGATGATGGATGGATGGATGATGGATGATGGATGGATGGATGATGGATGGATGATGGATGATGGATGGATGGATGATGGATGGATGATGGATGATGGATGGATGGATGATGGATGGATGATGGATGGATGGATGGATGATGGATGGATGATGGATGGATGATGGATGGATGATGGATGGATGATGGATGGATGATGGATGGATGATGGATGGATCTGTTTTTCTCCTGAATGTTGATGGTATAGACAGTTAGATGATAAAAATGATTATTTTCCGTTTTACTCAAAGGAAAATCTCCAGGTTCTCTCAGAGCTTCAGCCCTGAGATCAGAAATTGATCAAAGTCCAAAATACGACAATATGCCGACGATAGACGGATATGACAAAAATCACGACTGGTCAAATATTTGGAACATTAAATAATAATAATAAATAGATGTTAAATATCCCCCAGAAATGCCAGAAATGCAGGACGACGTAACGGATCATAAGGCCACAGCGCCACCTGGAGGCTCTAAACCTAAAGGCAGCACATAAATTGTGCAACAATGATTGTCTGAGTGGACAGAAAACCAGCCAGACTGATGAAAACACCATGAATGAACTTTAATCTTCTTGTTATTAGCAGACAAATGAATTTAACATCCAACAGAAACTGGAAACTATCATCAGTATTTATGGCTCCTGATTGGCTGATTGGCTGCTGGAAAACAAACAAATTCACCTGATCCAAAACGATCTGCTCTAAAGCGTGGTGAGGATTTGGTCCGGACCGTAAACGGACCCGACGTCTTTATTTCACCCCATCAGAGAGAAAACATGGCCGCCGCTCTAGAAGTGGTGACAGAGAGAGACCTGGACCGGATCAGAGTCTGAACCTTTGTTCAGCTGCCAGGCCGGGTCCTGATCCCGACCCGACCCGAAGCTGCTGCATGTGGAAACCTCTGGGTGTCGGTTCTGATCTGCAGCCTTAGATTCGGTCCAGATCTCAGCGGACGGCCAGGGCCATAAAGTGGGGGGCCAACGGCCCCACTAATCCCTCTGGCCCTATGGCTCTGACCTCTGACCTCTGACCCCTGACTTTGACCCTGCTGTTTCGTCCTTCAGGGGTCCAGAACAAGGCGTTCCTCCTGAAGCCGCTCACTCGTCTCCCTCATGCGACCCGGCAGAACCTGCTGAAGACGCTGCAGGAGGTTCTGGAGGAGGACGGCGCTCTCAGCCAGCTGGAGGAAACGGTTCAGACCCAAACTTCCTGTCAGCTGGTTAACCTCCAGACGGCGGCGTCTGATCAGACGGTGATTCTTCTTCTCCTCTTCCTGTCAGCTGGACCAGAGCAGCAAAGGACAGCCAGAGCGTCCCCCGTCCAAGGTCGTTTCGTCCTTCATGGACGTCTTGGATGAGTCCAAAGTCTCCTCCAAAGTGAGGGACGCTGTCCATCTCCTGGTCTGCGCCATGGACGGTGAGTGTGACGCTGCTGCCACCTACTGGCCAATCGTCTGAGCTGCAGCCTTCAGTTCTTCTGTTTCCTGCAGGTCTGCCAGAGCTCGAGGTGCGACCTTTGACCTCCTGTGCTCCTGAAACTCTGACTGTCCTCGTCCAGCTGGTTTGTGCCCTACTTACCTACCTACAATAAATCTCTAAAAATTGTGATTATTATTTTCATCTGAACTCCAGATTTACAAACAAACCTGAACAAATTTAAATGAAGGACAAAAGGAACAAAAATGAGTCAAAATGAGACACTGAGGCTGTTTCCCTCCTGACGGTCCAGTCCACCCGGTTCTACTGGAACCAGAACTTCTGCTCCACCTCCAGCTGCTGTGGTTCTGACCCAAACCAGCCTGTTTCCCTCCTGGCCTGTGGGGGCGCTGCACCAACAACCACTGCAGGAAACGACACTAAAACCTCTGAAGACGCTGAAAGCAACTTCCTGTTTCACCAGATGAAACAAGATGGAGGCGTCAGAGTTTAGTGATTTCTCTTTAGTTTTTGGCTGAAGACCAGGAGCCATTTCTGCTGCTAGCGCTAGGCTAGCACGTTAGCTTTGGTTGGATTTACCCAGAATGCCCTGCTCTGTAGTCACTTCCTGTCTTTTGAGCGGTTTCTGGTCCACTTGGCGTTCACATTCAAACCGAACCAGACCCAGGCTTGGAGGACCAGAGGTCAGAGGTCAGCTACTAATCTCACCTCACCAACCAGACCGAACTTTGACTAGACAAATGGACCAGAGTTTAGTCAAAGTGACTGAACAGAACTGGTGGGAATGATTCATAAATGGAAAAATTTGGGCCAGAGTGGGACATCATTGTCCACTCATCCTGTCTCTTTTCCCTCATCCTGTCTCCTTGTCCCTCATCCTGTCTCCTCGTGTGTCCAGGTGGACAGTCTGAAGGACGGAGATGAGCCCAGTCTCCCTGCATGTCCCCCTGTCCCCCTGCAGCAGGACGGGGGGCTGCGCTGGGCGGCGGATGTCCTCTGTGGGTCCAGTGAGACGCTGGCGGAGCTGAGTGCGGCGTGGGACCGGCGTCCCGAGGTTCTGCTGGAGGTTCTGGCTCTGGCCGTGTTGGGAGTCCACAGGCTGCAGGAGGGAAACGGTCCAGATGATGAATCTGCCTCAGAAAATTATTGAACATAATTTACATGATTGAAACTTTGCATGATTTTTTTCCTGCATTAATATTCATTTTAAACAGAGTTTCATTCTTTTCATGGGAAAATCTTTGAGTCTTTAACAAACTGCTGTTGCTCTTCATGTTCATTCAGGTTTTTCATTCATGTAATATAGATATTAAGAGTTTGGTATGGATTTGCTCTTTGGACATTTGAATAAAATAAATCTCTCTGATGAACGTATTGATTTGGGTCACTATGGGTCAACTCAGTGGTTCCCAAACATTTTTTATTGATTAGAATAAAATAGAATAAAAGAATCAATATTGTTTCCAGACATAAAACTTTACAAACATTTAGTTTTCAACTGAAGTTTATTTCAAACTTCAGTTTTAAAAAAACAAACTACAAACAGGGAAACTGTGTAACTTTTTAATTTTCATTCATCCATAACACGGCTGCAGTGGCACGGCTTCCCTGTAGGGGGCGCCACACTTTGGGAACCACTGGGTTAAACTGACTTGAACTTTTTCTCTTCTGCATTGAATTTATGTAATCAGTCATTGATGCTATTAAACATTTAAATCTCTGGAAATATTCCTGTTTTTAATGAGTTTAAACTTTTTCTATGGTTTTAATATTGAAGTCAGTGATAGAAAATATGGCAGTCTACATTTAATCTTTTCAACTCAGAAACTTTGAGCTCATTTGCAGAATTTCTGTCATTTTATTGGAACATGTAGAGTTTGTGATGTACCAGTCAGTCAGTCAGTCAGTCAGTCAGTCAGTCAGTCAGTGAGACAGTCAGTCAGTCAGTCAGTCAGTCAGTCAGACAGTCAGTCAGACAGTCAGTCAGTCAGTCAGACAGTCAGTCAGTCAGTCAGTCAGTCAGACAGTCAGTCAGTCAGTCAGACAGTCAGTGAGACAGTCAGTCAGTCAGTCAGTCAGTCAGTAAGTCAGACAGTCAGTCAGTCAGTCAGACAGTCAGTCAGACAGTCAGTCAGTCAGACAGTCAGTCAGACAGTCAGTCAAACAGTCAGTCAGTCAGTCAGTCAGACAGTCAGTCAGACAGTCAGTCAGTCAGTCAGTCAGTCAGACAGTCAGTCAGTCAGTCAGACAGTCAGTCAGTCAGTCAGTCAGACAGTCAGTCAGACAGTCAGTCAGTCAGTCAGTCAGTCAGTCAGTCAGACAGTCAGTCAGTCAGTCAGACAGTCAGTCAGTCAGTCAGTCAGTCAGTCAGTCAGTCAGACAGTCAGTCAGTCAGACAGTCAGTCAGACAGTCAGTCAGTCAGTCAGTCAGTCAGACAGTCAGTCAGTCAGACAGTCAGTCAGTCAGACAGTCAGTCAGACAGTCAGTCAGTCAGTCAGTCAGACAGTCAGTCAGACAGTCAGTCAGTCAGTCAGTCAGTCAGTCAGTCAGACAGTCAGTCAGTCAGTCAGTCAGACAGTCAGTCAGTCAGTCATCAGTCAGTCAGTCAGACAGTCAGTCAGTCAGTCAGTCAGACAGTCAGTCAGTCAGTCAGACAGTCAGTCAGTCAGTCAGTCAGTCAGACAGTCAGTCATCAGTCAGTCAGTCAGTCAGTCAGTCAGTCAGACAGTCAGTCAGACAGTCAGTCAGTCAGTCAGTCAGTCAGTCAGTCAGTCAGTCAGACAGACAGTCAGTCAGTCAGTCAGTCAGTCAGTCAGACAGTCAGTCAGTCAGTCAGACAGTCAGTCAGTCAGTCAGTCAGTCAGTCAGACAGTCAGTCAGTCAGTCAGACAGTCAGTCAGTCAGTCAGTCAGTCAGTCAGACAGTCAGTCAGTCAGTCAGTCAGACAGTCAGTCAGTCAGTCAGTCAGACAGTCAGTCAGTCAGTCAGTCAGTCAGTCAGTCAGACAGTCAGTCAGTCAGTCAGTCAGTCAGCCAGTCAGACAGTCAGTCAGTCAGTCAGTCAGTCAGACAGTCAGTCAGTCAGTCAGTCAGTCAGTCAGACAGTCAGTCAGTCAGTCAGTCAGACAGTCAGTCAGTCAGTCAGTCAGTCAGTCAGACAGTCAGTCAGTCAGACAGTCAGTCAGTCAGTCAGTCAGTCAGTCAGTCAGTCAGTCAGACAGTCAGTCAGTCAGTCAGTCAGTCAGTCAGACAGTCAGTCAGTCAGTCAGTCAGTCAGACAGTCAGTCAGTCAGTCAGTCAGTCAGACAGTCAGTCAGTCAGTCAGACAGTCAGTCAGTCAGACAGTCAGTCAGTCAGTCAGTCAGTCAGTCAGTCAGTCAGTCAGACAGTCAGTCAGTCAGTCAGTCAGTCAGTCAGACAGTCAGTCAGTCAGTCAGTCAGTCAGACAGTCAGTCAGTCAGTCAGTCAGACAGTCAGTCAGTCAGTCAGTCAGTCAGTCAGACAGTCAGTCAGTCAGTCAGTCAGTCAGTCAGTCAGACAGTCAGTCAGTCAGACAGTCAGTCAGTAGTCAGTCAGTCAGTCAGTCAGTCACAGTCAGCACGTCAGTCAGACAGTCAGTCAGTCAGTCAGACAGTCAGTCAGTCAGTCAGTCAGTCAGACAGTCAGTCAGTCAGACAGTCAGTCAGTCAGTCAGTCAGTCAGTCAGACAGTCAGTCAGTCAGTCAGTCAGTCAGACAGTCAGTCAGTCAGTCAGTCAGTCAGTCAGTCAGTCAGTCAGACAGTCAGTCAGTCAGTCAGTCTCTTCATCTCAGACTTTGTTTTGCCTGAACTGTAGAATAAAACAAAAGTGCATTTGAACGTTTTTCTTGCTCTTTTGGACCAGAATTCATCCTGATGCTTCAGGCGAGTATTTACTTACATTCACTTTTTGTTTAGATCAATTTGAAGTCTTAAGATTTTAGAATTTGAATTACAGTCACTACAATGACGGTATTAATTGGTTAGAAAGAAGCTGCTTGTGTGAATGTGGAGCTGGATTTAGCAGCAGGCTAAGCTAACGCGGTTCTTTCTGATTGGACCGTTTTCCGCTTCAGTTTTCATTTAGAGTTGCACTTTATTTTATGTACATAACTTTCTGTTCTTGTTATATACAAAATATTTTCCTTTTCATTCCATTGAGATGAAGCATACTAATTTAAAATACAGTTCATAAGTGATTCCAAAAGGAATTGAAACAGGATCAAAACAGCTGATTAAACAATGCAGTGAAAACACAAAATGGTGTTGATGCAGTGAGAACCACTGACATCTGGTCAGGGTCAGGGTTAGATTCAGCAACACGGAGCATGAAGGGTTGGGGTTAGGGTTCACAGTGTTCTATTTTCTATGGTATTGGTGATTGGTATCGGTATCAGTGGTTGGTATCGGTGGTTGGTATTGGTATCAGTGGTTGGTATCGGTATCAGTGGTTGGTATCGGTGGTTGGTATTGGTATCAGTGGTTGGTATCGGTATCAGTGGTTGGTATCGGTGGTTGGTATTGGTATCAGTGGTTGGTATCGGTATCAGTGGTTGGTATCGGTGGTTGGTATCGGTATCAGTGGTTGGTATCGGTGGTTGGTATCGGTGGTTGGTATCTGTGGTTGGTATCGGTATCAGTGGTTGGTATCGGTATCAGTGGTTGGTATCGGTATCAGTGGTTGGTATCGGTGGTTGGTATCGGTATCAGTGGTTGGTATCGGTATCAGTGGTTGGTATCGGTGGTTGGTATCGGTGGTTGGTATCGGTATCAGTGGTTGGTATCGGTGGTTGGTATCGGTGGTTGGTATCGGTATCAGTGGTTGGTATCAGTATCAGTGGTTGGTATCGGTATCAGTGGTTGGTATCGGTATCAGTGGTTGGTATCGGTATCAGTGGTTGGTATCGGTATCAGTGGTTGGTATCGGTATCGGTGGTTGGTATCGGTATCGGTGGTTGGTATCGGTATCAGTGGTTGGTATCGGTATCAGTGGTTGGTATCGGTGGTTGGTATCAGTGGTTGGTATCGGTGGTTGGTATCGGTATCGGTGGTTGGTATCGGTATCAGTGGTTGGTATCGGTATCAGTGGTTGGTATCGGTATCAGTGGTTGGTATCGGTGGTTGGTATCAGTGGTTGGTATCGGTGGTTGGTATCGGTATTGGTGGTTGGTATCGGTATCAATGGTTGGTATCGGTATCAGTGGTTGGTATTGGTATCAGTGGTTGGTATCGGTGGTTGGTATCAGTGGTTGGTATCGGTGGTTGGTATCAGTGGTTGGTATCGGTGATTGGTATCGGTATCAGTGGTTGGTATCGGTGGTTGGTATTGGTATCAGTGGTTGGTATTGGTATCAGTGATTGGTATCGGTATCAGTGATTGGTATCGGTATTGGTGATTGGTATCGGTGTTGGTGGTTGGTATCAGTGATTTGCAGTCATTGGAATTGGCAGCTAGAAATGTGACCACAATATTGCTAGAAAAACCAGAACTGTGATTCTTAATGCTTTAATATTCAGTGAGAGGAGAAAGACAAAAGGTTGGTTTTCATTTTAAAGACAAAGTTTCATTCAGATTGTGAAAATACACCAAAGCAGCTCCTTGTTTTAGTGCTATTTAGCCTTTCTGACAGATGGTGGCGCCGTGACAGGAAACCCAACAGGAAGTGGCCCAGAACTAAAATCCTAGAGTGAAACATCCACCAGCAGAACCGTCTTTACTCTCCGCCCTGCAGCTTGTGGATTCCCATCACGGCCAGAGCCAGAACCTCCAGCAGAACCTCTGGTGGCAGATCGAAGACATCAGTCAGTGTCTTCAACGCCTCGTCAGAGGAAGAGAGGAGATCAGCGGCCCAACGCAGATCTCCATCTGGCTGCAGGCCGGCGGGGACAGAACCGCTCAGCTCGGGTTCATCATTGTCCTTCAGACTTTGCACCTGGAGACATGTCAAAAAAAGACAGATGGAGGGACATGGAGACAGGTGGAGACAGGTGGAGAAAGATGGAGACAAATGGAGGGACATGGAGACAGGTGGAGGGACATGGAGACAGGTGGAGACAGATGGAGGGACATGGAGACAGGTGGAGACAGGTGGAGACAGATGGAGGGACATGGAGACAGGTGGAGACAGGTGGAGACAGATGGAGGGACATGGAGACAGGTGGAGGGACATGGAGACAGGTGGAGACAGATGGAGGGACATGGAGACAGGTGGAGACAGGTGGAGACAGATGGAGGGACATGGAGACAGGTGGAGACAGGTGGAGACAGATGGAGGGACATGGAGACAGGTGGAGACAGGTGGAGACAGATGGAGGGACATGGAGACAGGTGGAGGGACATGGAGACAGGTGGAGACAGATGGAGGGACATGGAGACAGGTGGAGACAGATGGAGGGACATGGAGACAGGTGGAGACAGGTGGAGACAGATGGAGGGACATGGAGACAGGTGGAGACAGATGGAGGGACATGGAGACAGGTGGAGACAGATGGAGGGACATGGAGACAGGTCAGGTCTTCAGATATAATCATGTCTGGTTTAGTTTCTAATTGTCTGAATTCATTTGAATCTGAAATGTTGGTGAACTGAGAGACTTTGACCTTTAACCTTTAACAGCAGGACAGAGTTTTTCATGTCTGGTTTTTTGTCCCAGTGGATTAAATTGTGTTTTGATCTCATGAGTTTTTGTCTTGACTTTTGAAAAATTTGTGCAAGTTTTGGAGGAAAGTGATGTGAAAAGGGACAGTGAGGACATGATGTGGACGAACCAGCTGGTTGAGGACGGTGACAGTCTGGGGACTTCCTGAGATCAGAGGTCGCTGCAGTGGCGGCGGCAGAGCTACAGCAAGCAGGAGAAGAAGAAGAAGAAGAAGAAGAAGATGTTCAGGAGTGGATCCGTCTCGTCTTGGACTTGATCCACAGGAGGAACCAAAATCCTCAAAGTTTCTCTGCAGATTGAAAACTAAAAGCTGAAGCTGCTGAGCCTCTTCTGCTCAGACTCACCATCCAAGGCAGCAACCAGAACACAAAGACCGTCCCTCGCCTTGGGGGCTTTGGATTGGTCCAGGATGTCCATGAAGGAGGAGACAGTCTTAGACTCAGGAGGCTCACTGCCATCGTGCAGCTGAGAGGAAGACGCTGATCAGTGACCAGTGTGAGGCTGAGAAGATTTGATCTAAAGACCAGGAAGGAAAGTCTTACCATGTCCTCCAGCTCAGTCAGAGTGTCCTCTTCCTCCAGAACCTCTCTGAGCTTCTTCAGCACATCTCCACGAGTCCACTCTGGAAGCTTGTCAATCAGATTCAGAATATTTTCCTTTGTTTCAATCCTGCAGGAAAAACAGTCAAGAATCTGCAATGAATCCAGTGACTGGTTGACGAAACATTAATCAGGATAATATCGAGAATTTGGACATTAATGTTAAAACCAAACAACTGTTAGAGAAAGAGTCAATTCAGTGAAGCTTTGTTCTTAAAGTCCTTTCATGGCTCTAGAGACCTTGATGGACAGAAAGAAGGACAGAGACAAGGAGAGAAGACATGCAGCAAATGGTGGGACTGAGGATGTGCTGCCTGTGCTCTTCCACTGGGCCACTGGGAGCAGCCAATCAGGCTTCAACCAATCAGGCTTCAACCAATCAGGCTTCAACCAGTCAGGCTTCAACCAATCAGGCTTCAACCAGTCAGGCTTCAACCAATCAGGCTTCAACCAATCAGGCTTCAACCAATCAGGCTTCAACCAGTCAGGCTTCAACCAATCAGGCTTCAACCAGTCAGGCTTCAACCAGTCAGGCTTCAACCAATCAGGCTTCAACCAATCAGGCTTCAACCAGTCAGGCTTCAACCAGTCAGGCTTCAACCAATCAGGCTTCAACCAGTCAGGCTTCAACCAGTCAGGCTTCAACCAATCAGGCTTCAACCAATCAGGCTTCAACCAATCAGGCTTCAACCAGTCAGGCTTCAACCAGTCAGCTTCAACCAATCAGGCTTCAACCAGTCAGGCTTCAACCAATCAGGCTTCAACCAGTCAGGCTTCAACCAGTCAGGCTTCAACCAGTCAGGCTTCAACCAGTCAGGCTTCAACCAGTCAGGCTTCAACCAATCAGGCTTCAACCAGTCAGGCTTCAACCAGTCAGGCTTCAACCAATCAGGCTTCAACCAGTCAGGCTTCAACCAGTCAGGCTTCAACCAATCAGGCTTCAACCAATCAGGCTTCAACCAATCAGGCTTCAACCAGTCAGGCTTCAACCAGTCAGGCTTCAAACAATCAGGCTTCAACCAGTCAGGCTTCAACCAATCAGGCTTCAACCAATCAGGCTTCAACCAATCAGGCTTCAACCAATCAGGCTTCAACCAGTCAGGCTTCAACCAGTCAGGCTTCAACCAATCAGGCTTCAACCAGTCAGGCTTCAACCAATCAGGCTTCAACCAGTCAGGCTTCAACCAGTCAGGCTTCAACCAGTCAGGCTTCAACCAGTCAGGCTTCAACCAATCAGGCTTCAACCAGTCAGGCTTCAACCAATCAGGCTTCAACCAATCAGGCTTCAACCAGTCAGGCTCCAACCAATCAGGCTTCAACCAGTCAGGCTTCAACCAATCAGGCTTCAACCAATCAGGCTTCAACCAATCAGGCTTCAACGTCTCTGAAACAAAAACTGAGCAAACAGGTAAAGTATACTTCTCACCCTCTCTAGCTTTTTCCAGGATGTCATTGCCGATGGCATCAGAGAGCCAACCTGCAAACAGAAGGATAAAGGTCAGATAAAGGTCAGATTCCACACATGGAGACCTCAGGTCTAGAGGAGTTCAAGGTTCAACAGACAGATCTGAGTTTTGTCTAAACATAAACGTCCAAACTGTCGGAAACAAGATTGGTTTTTGCAGAACTTCTTTGTTGGACAGATTGACCTTTGGGTAAACCTGAGAGACTCTTCATTGGGTCCTAGGAGTGACCTTTAACCCCCAGATTCTTCATTGGTTCCTCTTCCTCCTGTCAGTCCTCTGGTCGTCTTCTAGTCTCATTTCCTTCACCTTCTGACCGTCATTCCATGAACCCATCTGCTCACACAGCTTCTGTCACTTCTAGTCTTTTTCTGAGGTTTTTTTCCTCTCAATCCTTTCAGTTAGTGTTGGGTTAGAGTTAGTTTATAGTTGGGTTTGGGTTAGTTTATAGTTGGGTTAGAGTTAGTTTATAGTTGGGTTATGTTTAGTTTAGGGTTAGTTGTCAGATTCTTCGGTTCCTATCAGGTCTTTTGCCTCCATGTTGTTTTTTCTTTTCCATAAACTGCAGTTCTGGAGGTTCATCATGAAAGCTTTCTGCATGATGATCTTGTCTGTCTCCTGCCTGCATTTCATTCTTAAAAACATCAATTCAAGTACTGAAGGCGTCTAAAATATATTGTATTTGAAGCTACAGGAATAAGGAATAGTTTTAATAAAACTCTGGCCGACCTCGTTTGTGAATCCAGGTCTCAAAAGGGATTTCTGCAAAAGGCAAGAAGAAATGATTAGCCACCAACGCCAACATGCAGAGCTCTGTCCAGACGGTGAAAGCTCCTACCGATCTTCCCTTTGTCCAGTCTGATCTCCACCAGGTTGTAAGCAAAGGTTCTACGTTCTGGTATCTTGAATGTGGTGCCCAACTCCACCTTCATCTGACAGAACAAACCAAACCCAAGGAGGTTTAATTATTCATCTCTACAGAAAAAATTAAAGTATTCCTCAGATGCAGAGAGAAACTGATTATCTCTAAACTGCCAGTGATCGTCATCCCACCGAAAACATCCAGATTAATCAACGGGCACCAAGATGTCTACCAATCTGAATCTGATGACGGCCCACCAAAGATGAAACTGTGTCAGAAAATATGAGGCAACGCACTTCAACTGAATATTTTTAAACTGAGTTTTTAGCTTAATGAACTTAAACTGTGGGGGTAAAGCTGTACTGCAGGGGGGGCAGATGCCTCCCATTTACCCCGATCTCAAAACCCAAACCAGTTTATCGTCCCTCATCAGCTTCAGTCAGCAGATATTCAGATGTTCTGAACATGTGTGACTCATTGACGGTCCACTCACCCCAAGACCCACTTTCACCAGGCTCTGGTACGACCCTGAGACTTTTCCCTCACAGCTTCCTGTACTGGTCAGAGTCACAGGTTGAGTGTTGTAAGCCATCTCAAACACAAACCCCAGTGTGTGGCTTTTCTTCAGTTTCAGCAACTTCAGGTCGTTTTTTTCAATCGTCCTACAAAGAAGAAGATCAGCATCAGGAAACTGTTCCACCCTGGAGGACAGCAGGACAGACAAGACCTACCTGCCCCTGAACGCCTCCCTCACACAATCAAGATCAACTTTCTTTTTCTTAATGGTAACAGAAGTCATAGCATCCACAACATCAGCGTTTATCCCAGCATCAACAACATCTCCTGCTTTGACTAGGACGTTCCCACCCATCATTCTGTAATTCTTGAAATCCTCCACCATCACTTCCTCCTGATCACCTGCGAAGAAGCAAGAGCAGCAGTGGGACGTGATGACAGCGATGGAAGCTGACTGCTTTTATTTTGAAAATACATCATTCTGAATTATTGTCCTTACTGTTGAGTGTATTAAGCTTACAGATTATTTTGAATGTCAGTTTGGTGTCTAAGCAGTTCAAAGGTTATTTTGTGCAATTTTCAAAGGTTTGTTCTGTACTTAATGATTATACTTTGACCTTGAGGAGTCCAGGAGTCTTAAGGTCGTTGGGTCGTTGGGTTAGGGTAAGACATAGTTCAGTTACTGCTGTTGTGTTGCTGCTTTTCCCACAAGACACAAAACAGAATCAACTTCACTCCTCAATGAAACAGCTTCAAGAGACTCACCTGGTGAAAACGTCTTCTCCCCCACCAGCTTAGGTAAGGTGTACTTGAGCACCTTGTACTTGGGAAAAGACCAGATGGGCCCCTTCTTGATTCTGACTAAAGTCAGAAGGTCTACTTCTGTATCTGGATCTTCATTGGGAACGAAACGTTGGTCGATGTTCAGGCTTCTGACGAACGCTGAGGCCGCAGCTTTGAACATGATGTCTGGACAGACAGGAGACGACAGAACCGTGAAAATCACTCACATGATGATGAAGCTGAACATTCAGGCACTTCCTGCTACTGTCACAATGTTATTGAAGGCTCCCCTCTGAGAGGACCCGGTTCTGTCCCGGTTCTGACCCGGTTATGACCCGGTTATGACCCGGTTCTGTCCCGGTTATGACCCGGTTCTGTCCCGGTTATGACCCGGTTCTGTCCCGGTTATGACCCGGTTCTGACCCGGTTCTGACCCGGTTGTTACCCGGTTCTGACCCGGTCCTGACCCGGTCCTAACCAGGTCCTGACCCGGTTCTGACCAGTTCTGTCCCGGTTCTGACCCGGTTATGACCCGGTTCTGTCCCGGTTTTGACCCGGTTCTTACCTGGTTCTGACCCGGTCCTGACCCGGTCCTGACCCGGTCCTCACCCGGTTCTGTCCCGGTTCTGACCCGGTCCTGACTCGGTCCTGACTCGGTCCTGACCCGGTTCTGTCCCGGTCCTGACCCGGTCCTGACCCGGTCCTGACTCGGTCCTGACCCGGTCCTGACCCGGTCCTGACCCGGTCCTGACTCGGTCCTGACCCGGTCCTGACCCAGTTCTGACCTGGTCCTCACCCGGTTCTGTCCCGGTTCTGACCCGGTTCTGACCCGGTCCTGACTCGGTCCTGACTCGGTCCTGACTCGGTCCTGACCCGGTTCTGACCCAGTTCTGTCCCGGTTCTGACCCGGTTATGACCCGGTTCTGTCCCGGTTCTGACCCGGTCCTGACTCGGTCCTGACCCGGTTCTGACCCGGTCCTGACTCGGTCCTGACCCGGTCCTGTCCCGGTCCTGACCCGGTCCTGACCCGGTTCTGACCCGGTCCTGACTCGGTCCTGACTCGGTCCTGACCCGGTTCTGACCCAGTTCTGTCCCGGTTCTGACCCGGTTATGACCCGGTTCTGTCCCGGTTTTGACCCGGTTCTTACCCGGTTCTGACCCGATTCTGACCCAGTTCTGACCTGGTCCTCACCCTGTTCTGTCCCGGTTCTGACCCGGTCCTGACTCGGTCCTGACCCGGTCCTGACCCGGTTCTGACTCGGTCCTGACCCGGTCCTGACCCGGTCCTGACCCGGTTCTGACTCGGTCCTGACCCGGTTCTGACCCGGTCCTGACTCGGTCCTGACCCGGTCCTGACCCGGTCCTGACTCGGTCCTGACCCGGTTCTGACCCGGTTCTGACCCGGTTCTGACCCGGTTCTGACCCGGTCCTGACTCGGTCCTGACCCGGTTCTGACCCGGTTCTGACCCGGTCCTGACTCGGTCCTGACCCGGTTCTGACCCGGTCCTGACTCGGTTCTGACTCGGTCCTGACCCGGTTCTGACCCGGTTCTGACCCGGTCCTGACCCGGTTCTGACCCGGTCCTGACTCGGTCCTGACCCGGTTCTGACCCGGTTATTGATTTTAGTTACTTGTCTTCTATCGGGTTCATCAGCTCTCTGCCTGATTATTTATGCTGCACAGCAAACGTTCACATTCTGGAAACGTCAAGACTTCGACCTCAGGCTGTTTCTGTGGAACCACCGGATCCAGTCGGACCGGTCCCTCTGCTTTTCTGACTCTGCTGACGACCCGGTTCGGTTCTGGATACCTGAACCAGAGATCCGATCAGCCTGATGCTGCTGAGGGTTTCTGAGTGTTTCCTGCTCTGTGCTGTCAGATCATGTTTACTGAACATGAGACTTTCTGCTGGTTTTGTCCCAGAATCACAGAACCAACCTGATCAGTGGGATGATAGTGAGTAAAAGTTTGATTTATTACACTGTCTACAATATCAGAACATATGAAATATTCAGATATTGAATCGGTCCAAAATGTAAAATAACTTTATAACATTTTTATCAACCCTTAGAAAAACAAACCAGAGAAAATCTGGAAACATAATTGAATCTCCAGCAAACCATCAGAACCAACCTGATGCTGCAGAGTCTGGAAGCTTCTCGTCTCGTTTCATTGAGTGAAATAATCTCAGTTTATGTGTGAAATAAAAAGCATTTCTGTTTGCTGCAGAGACTCACAGGAATCTTACCTGGACGTCTGGATCAGCAGGAGCGTCAGTCAGGCTGCAGCGGCTCCTCGGCTGCAGCGGCTCATATGTGAACAGAACGTCTTCCTGGATTGACGTGTCACATTCATGTGACTTCATCTCACCGTACCAGAACCGTTCAGCTGGAAACCAGTTCAGGTCCCGTTTCATTCAGCTCTGATGATCCTCTGCTGTGTTTGGCGTGTCGTCAGGAGGTCAAAGTTCGACGCTCCAGGTAGCAAACCAAAGAATTGTGTTTAAAAGTAATGAAGGCTTAAAACTGTTCAGAATAGAAAGTGAATGAAAAGAACCAGGATTCCTGATATGATGAGAGGAAACTGTGATAGATTGTTTTGTTGCCCCCTACTGGTAAGAAATACCAACATACCAGTTCCAGGTATAGTTCTGAGTCGGCCAGTTTATTAGCTGTATTGCTGTGGCTGTATGTTTCCTGGGTTCCACCATAAAAAGACATCGTCCCCACATGTTCTCTGTGTGATTTTTCTAACCAAGAATATCACAGAAACCAAGTCGTTCACAAACCCAATTGAACAGTTCAATTGTGTTCATGAGAACTGTTCATGAGAACTGTTCATTATTCATGAGAACTGTTCATTATTCATGAGAACTGTTCATGAGAACTGTTCATTATTCATGAGAACTGTTCATGAGAACTGTTCATGAGAACTGTTCTTCCTGTTCCTGTAAACTTTTCTCTGTGTTTCTTCTTCTGCAGATTTTGTGCTATTTTCACTTTATGCTATTCAGCTTGTTCTGCTAATGGGCAGGGTTACCATGGTTACCAGGGTTACCATGGTTACCACCAATCATCCCGGTTCTGAGTCATCACGGAGGAAACACACCAGCGGCCATTTTGAGGCCGGACAGTCAAACGGCTCTGTAGGTCAACATGCTAATGCTAATCTAGATGCTAACTGTCAATAACTGTTCATGGTTTGACTTTAAAGCACAGAATTTTAATTTCAGCTTGAACACATCAGGATGTCGTGTCTTTGCAGCTCAGCTTGTCCTCAATCGATGCTCTTCACTCTTCACCCTGCAGCCTGTGGACTCCCAACACGGCCAGAGCCAGAACCTCCAGCAGAACCTCGGGACGCCGGTCCCACGCCGCACTCAGCTCCGCCAGCGTCTCACTGGACCCACAGAGGACATCCGCCGCCCAGCGCAGCCCCCCGTCCTGCTGCAGGGGGACAGGGGGACATGCAGGGAGACTGGGCTCATCTCCGTCCTTCAGACTGTCCACCTGGACACACGAGGAGACAGGATGAGGGACAAGGAGACGGGATGAGGGACAAAGAGACAGGATGAGGGAAAAGAGACAGGATGAGGGAAAAGAGACAGGATGAGGGACAATGATGTCCCACTCTGGCCCAAATTTGTCCATTTATGAATCATTCCCACCAGTTCTGTTCAGTCACTTTGACTAAACTCTGGTCCATTTGTCTAGTCAAAGTTCGGTCTGGTTGGTGAGGTGAGATTAGTAGCTGACCTCTGACCTCTGGTCCTCCAAGCCTGGGTCTGGTTCGGTTTGAATGTGAACGCCAAGTGGACCAGAAACCGCTCAAAAGACAGGAAGTGACTACAGAGCAGGGCATTCTGGGTAAATCCAACCAAAGCTAACGTGCTAGCCTAGCGCTAGCAGCAGAAATGGCTCCTGGTCTTCAGCCAAACACTAAAGAGAAATCACTAAACTCTGACGCCTCCATCTTGTTTCATCTGGTGAAACAGGAAGTTGCTTTCAGCGTCTTCAGAGGTTTTAGTGTCGTTTCCTGCAGTGGTTGTTGTGCAGGCCCCCACAGGCCAGGAGGGAAACATTCTGGTTTGGGTCAGAACCACTGCAGCTGGAGGTGGAGCAGAAGTTCTGGTTCCAGTAGAACCGGGTGAACTGGACCGTCAGGAGGGAAACAGCCTCAGTGTCTCATTTTGACTCATTTTTGTTCCTTTTGTCCTTCATTTAAATTTGTTCAGGTTTGTTTGTAAATCTGGAGTTCAGATGAAAATAATAATCACAATTTTTAGAGATTTATTGTAGGTAGGTAAGTAGGGCACAAACCAGCTGGACGAGGACAGTCAGAGTTTCAGGAGCACAGGAGGTCAAAGGTCGCACCTCGAGCTCTGGCAGACCTGCAGGAAACAGAAGAACTGAAGGCTGCAGCTCAGACGATTGGCCAGTAGGTGGCAGCAGCGTCACACTCACCGTCCATGGCGCAGACCAGGAGATGGACAGCGTCCCTCACTTTGGAGGAGACTTTGGACTCATCCAAGACGTCCATGAAGGACGAAACGACCTTGGACGGGGGACGCTCTGGCTGTCCTTTGCTGCTCTGGTCCAGCTGACAGGAAGAGGAGAAGAAGAATCACCGTCTGATCAGACGCCGCCGTCTGGAGGTTAACCAGCTGACAGGAAGTTTGGGTCTGAACCGTTTCCTCCAGGACACTCAGCGCCTCGTCTTCCTGCAGGACGTCCTGGAGGCCTCTCAGCAGGTGGCGGCGAGTCGACACAGGAAGTTCCTCCAGCGGCCGCAGAAGAACCTCCTTCATCTCGATCCCTGCAGGAAACAGCAGGAAGTTAGCAGCAGCAGTGAGGTCACAAGGTCATGGTCACAAGGTCAGTGATGGAGAGGAGGACGATGAAGAGGACCGTCTCTGGCTAGGTCCATCGGGTCAGAGTTCACCGCATCGTGGCTCAGACCTGCCAGCAGAGCAGACATCAGGGTCAAGTGACATCATCAGCTTCAGCCGGAGGTGAAGCTGCGACTCGCCGGAAACCGTGAGACTCGTGAGACGGAAACCGACCTCTCCGTTTGTGAGACCAGCTCTCCAAAGCGATTTCTGCACAAGAGACAAAGATTCCCATGACAAAGACCTGCAGGACAGTGAGGACACGGGGGACAGTGGGGACAATGGGGGCAATGGGCACAGTGAGGACGCAGTGAGGACAGTGAGGACGCAGGGGACAGTGAGGACACGGGGGACAGTGGGACAATGGGCACAGTGAGGACACGGGGGACAGTGGGGACAATGGGGGCAATGGGCACAGTGAGGACGCAGTGGGCACAGTGAGGACGCAGTGAGGACGCAGGGGACAGTGAGGACACGGGGGACAGTGGGGACAATGGGCACAGTGAGGACACGGGGGACAGTGGGGACAGTGAGGACACGGGGGACAGTGGGGACAGTGAGGACACGAGGACAGTGGGGACAGTGAGGACAATTGGGACAGTGAGGACAGTGAGGACAGTGGGGACAGTGAGGACAGTTAGGACAGTGGGGACAGTGAGGACACGGGGACAGTGAGGACACGGGGACAGTGGGGACAGTGAGGACAGTGGGGACAGTTAGGACAGTGAGGACAGTGAGGACACGGGGACAGTGGGGACAGTGAGGACAGTGGGGACAGTGAGGACACGGGGACAGTGGGGACAGTGAGGACACGGGGACAGTGGGGACAGTGAGGACACGGGGACAGTGGGGACAGTGAGGACAGTGGGGACAGTGAGGACACGGGGACAGTGAGGACAGTGGGGACAGTGAGGACAGTGGGGACAGTGAGGACAGTGGGGACAGTGAGGACAGTTAGGACAGTGGGGACAGTGAGGACACGGGGACAGTGAGGACAGTGGGGACAGTGAGGACAGTGGGGACAGTTAGGACAGTGAGGACAGTGAGGACACGGGGACAGTGAGGACAGTGAGGACAGTGCTCCTACCCATGGCCCCGTCCCGCAGCAGCACCTCCACCAGGCTGAAGGCGAAGGTGGACTTGTCTGGGACAGTGAAGGTGGTGTCCTCCTTGGACTTGCCCTGATGGAGGACAGATGTCTTCACTGAATGAACATCACATCATTTCCATCAGCTGCTCTGGAGCCTCACAGCCAGCAGGGGGCGCTCAATGTTGGCGGCGACTGCGGGTTCGATTCCCAGACATTCTGTCTCTGCTCTGAGCCTCTGAATCCTGGTGTCTGCTGGACACACCAGGTCTCAAGGTCCAGATGCAGAAGGCGGGACGATGCTGTGGCCGTATGACATCACTTCCTGCTCTGGCATTAAGCCGCAGAACCACGTAGAACTAGATGATCTAGATCTGAACCCTGCAGGGCGAAGCTCCAAACCGCTGATAGAAATAGACATTCTAGATGTGACCATCAGCGGCTCTGACCTTGAAAACCATGTTGGCCAGTTTGTGGACGCCGCGAAGACGCAGGCGGAGACGCTGCCGTCCGTCCCCTTCTTCTTGACGACGGTCACGGGTCCAGAGTTATAGACCGTCTCATAAACGAAGGTCAGCAGGTCGTTTTTCTTCAGCTTCAGCGCCTGCAGCGTCCCGCCGCCGATCGGCCTGCGGAGCGGCAGGTCAAAGGTCAACAGGAAGCGGCAGGTCAAAGGTCAACAGGTAGCAGCAGGTCAAAGGTTCACAGGAAGCGGCAGGTCAAAGGTCAACAAGAAGCGGGAGGTCAAAGGTCAACAGGACGCTCCAAAACCTTTACCTGCCGCTGAAGCGGCTCCTCACGGCTGAAAGGTCGACTCTCTTCTTGTTGATGCTGACGGACTCGGTCAGGCCGTCCACCGAGTCGTAGTCTGCAGAGACGTCCGCTTGGCCCAGCGCTCCGTGTCCTCCGTCCACCTTGGCGCTGCCGCTGGTCTCCACCCACGTCTTGAAGTCGTCCACCAGGACGTCCTCCTGCACCTCTGGCAGGAAGCAGACGGTCTGGACGTCACATGACTCTGAGGCTGCTGAGCTTCAGCTGACTCACCTGGACGGACGTCTCACCTGGACGGAAGTCTTTGTCCCCAGCAGCTCCGGCAGCGTGACGTTCAGGGCCTTGTATGTGGGGAACTGGAATAAAGTTCCCTTTCTGACCCGAACCAGAGTCAGAACCTCCATCCTTCTGTTCAGGTTGCAGTTGGAGATCAGATCCTCCTGAGCGCCGGTGGCTCTGACCAGAGCTTTAGTTTCAGCCGCAAACATCGTCTGGAGACACAGGACGTCCTCAGAGACAAAACGTCTACAGGGACAAAACGTCTACAGGGACAAAATGTCCTCAGAGACAGAACGTCTACAGGGACAAAATGTCCTCAAGGACAGGACGTCCTCAGAGACAGAACGTCTACAGGGACAAAACGTCTACAGGGACAAAATGTCCTCAGAGACAGAACGTCTACAGGGACAAAACGACCACAGGGACAGAACGTCTACTGGGACAGAACGTCTACTGGGACAAAACGACCACAGGGACAGAACGTCTACTGGGACAGAATGTCTACAGGGACAAAATGTCCTCAAGGACAGGACGTCCTCAGAGACAGAACGTACAGGGACAGAACGTCTACTGGGACAAAACGACCACAGGGACAGAACGTCTACTGGGACAGAATGTCTACAGGGACAAAATGTCCTCAAGGACAGGACGTCCTCAGAGACAGAACGTCTACAGGGACAAAACGACCACAGGGACAGAACGTCTACTGGGACAGAACGTCTACAGGGACAAAATGTCCTCAAGGACAGGACGTCCTCAGAGACAGAACGTCTACAGGGACAGAACGTCCTCAGAGACAGAACGTCTACAGGGACAAAACGTCTACAGGGACAAAATGTCCTCAAGGACAGGACGTCCTCAGAGACAGAACGTCTACAGGGACAGAACGTCCTCAGAGACAAAACGTCTACAGAGACAAAATGTCCTCAAGGACAGGACGTCCTCAGAGACAGAACGTCTACAGAGACAAAATGTCCTCAAGGACAGGACGTCCTCAGAGACAGAACGTCTACAGGGACAAAACGTCTACAGGGACAAAACGTCTACAGGGACAAAATGTCCTCAAGGACAGGACGTCCTCAGAGACAAAACGTCTACAGGGACAGGACGTCCTCAGAGACAAAACGTCTACAGGGACAAAATGTCCTCAAGGACAGGACGTCCTCAGAGACAGAACGTCTACAGGGACAGAACGTCCTCAGAGACGGAACGTCTACAGAGACAAAATGTCCTCAAGGACAGGACGTCCTCAGAGACAAAACGTCTACAGGGACAGGACGTCCTCAGAGACAAAACGTCTACAGGGACAAAACGTCCTCAAGGACAGGACGTCCTCAGAGACAGAACGTCTACAGGGACAAAACGTCCTCAAGGACAGGACGTCCTCAGAGACAGAACGTCTACAGGGACAGAACGTCCTCAGAGACAGAACGTCTACAGAGACAAAATGTCCTCAAGGACAGGACGTCCTCAGAGACAGAACGTCTACAGGGACAGAACGTCTACAGAGACAAAACGTCTACTGGGACAAATCCACAGTCTGTCCTCCCACTGGAGGTCCAGGTTCTATCAGGTGCTGGAGAACGAAGACCAGATGAATTGGACTCCCATTCAGTTCCTGGGACCTTGTAGAGGAACCGGATCTGAATCTGTGAATTTATCTGATAAATCATCAGATTATAGATTATAGATTAAAATCTCCCTGAAGGTTTTCTAAATGATTCATCTCTATTGGATGAAACCTGCTGCAGTTCATCCAGGAACGTCGACATGAAGCTGCAGCTTCTCTGAACGAGGATCTGGACCTGAGCGTCTAGACGCCTTACATCTAGAGACCAGAGACAAACAACAGGAGAGTTCAGCCTCACCTGAGACGCTCTGCAGGAGGACAGTCAGCAGGAAGACAGTCTGCAGGAGGACAGTCTGCAGGAAGACAGTCTGCAGGAGGACAGTCAGCAGGAAGACAGTCAGCAGGAGGACAGTCAGCAGGAAGACGCTCAGCTCAAGTTGGGACCCGTTGCTGAAGCTGCAGCTTCAGCAGGACGAGCTTTATACTGAGGCCGGGGGCGGATCCAGTTCTGGGGCGGATCCAGTTCAGATCGTTTCCCAGGCAACCAACAGCACACCCTTCTTCTTCTTCTCCTTCAGATAAGCTGCTCAGGTTCGGACACGTCTGGACAGAACCAGCGTCTCCATGTCCTCATTCCTCTCAGAGCTGCAGGACGGGTTCGTGAATCCTGCTCCGGTGGAGAACCGTTGACATTATTCTGTCTACAGAAAGGATGTGGCTGTAATGTGTGTCCTGATGACCCAGGTCAAAGGTCAACAGAAGGACAGCTAATATCTCTGCAGACCCCACAGATCCTGGACACAAACTGACTCATTTTATGGATTTTCTTCCTTCAGTAACTGATGAGTCCAAATTTTATATGAATTATTAAAGTGAGAGTAGACAGGTTCTGACCCGTCCACAGGCCACGACGGGTCAGAACCTCTTAGTGATACATGTGGAGACCAACCAGAACTGAACCAGATCTCAACCGGATCTGAACTGGATCTGAAGATGCCAGTTTGATCTTCACCTGATCAGATCTCAGTGATGCTGATCGGTTCTCCATAAGGAACCAATCAGGCAGCAGCAGATCAAAGTGCTGCTGCAGGAACCAGGAAATGGATCAGAACCAGAAGAGTTAAAGTTAAAGGTGAGTAGCTGAACATTCAGCTGAGTTGGACGTGTCTCTGCTGTCTCTCCTTAAGCTCCGCCTCTTTCTGTTCACTTTGTGCTGCAGCTGCTCAGGTTCGGACACGTCTGGACAGAACCAGCGTCTCCATGTCCTCATTCCTCTCAGAGCTGCAGGACGGGTTCGTGAATCCTGCTCCGGATCAGCCTCTATTCCAGAACTGCTGACCCAAATGGTAGCATTTGGTTCCGGTCCCAGTCCAGAACCCGGCTCCAGTCCAGAACCCGGTTCCAGTCCAGAACCCGGCTCCAGTCCAGAACCCGGCTCCAGTCCAGAACCCGGTTCTGGTCCTGGTCCAGCTCCAGTGAGGAATGTTCCTGGAGGTTCTGCTCAGTGTTGTATAGTAACAAAAAAAATACTTCACTACTTTACTTAAGTATATTTTGGAGTACTTCATACTTTCCTCGAGTATGAAAATGTTTGATAACTTTCACTTTTACTTCACTACATTTCCGAACTTAATTTCATACTTTTACTCCGATACATTTTCAATGTGTGGTTTAGTTACTGGTTACAAAAGAAACGAGAGAGAAACGCAAATGTTTTGATCAACCTACTGATCAACTGCAACAAAGCCTGTTAGCCTGGGCTTGTTCATCTCCACCAATAGGATGCACAGGTTTCTCCTCCCCACCTACATCAAAAAGTCCAGTCTGATTGGTTAGTTCTCCGTTTGCGTAGGTTTGTGCCGTTAAAATGTTCGTTTGTGCAGCTTTGGTTTCTGAGATATTAAATGATTTTTTAGGCCATCCAGAGTTACCATCCCCGCAGTTTGCTCCAAAACAAACCAAAGTGGGCTGGTTCATTTTGCAGGTTTGTGCCGTTAAAACAAACGCAGCAAAGTTATTTTCAGTTTGGATTTTGGCTTTTCCAATATCCGGTGTGAGCGGCGTCTAGCTCGAGGTTGATCCGATTCACGAACGCTAATTTGGGCCAGCCGGTCTCTGGTCTCCTCCTTCCTCAAGGTGTCGGAGTTTCACTCAGGGAGAGTCAACAAATTTTACATCCAAACTCTCCTGAGAAACTAATGGAAATAGATTTCTTGCCTTGTGACAAACTGACACTAAATTCATGACACATTCCTAGAAATTGTAATCTTAAAAAGTATATATTTTGGATGGCCTAAAAATCATTTTAATATCTCGGAAGCCAAAGCTGCACAAACAAAAATTTTAATGGCACCAACTGAGCACAAACCAATCAGAGTATTTGCTGGATTATTTGAGTAGATGGGTCAGCTTCATGGAGGTCTGTTTCCTTCTCCCATTAAACACCAAGTTAACTAAAATCTCTCCTCTTCAGATGCCAATAAGCTGCATTTCCCTCCCAATTCTTTCTTTTGCATAATGACCAGTTGTTGCACCTATAGTGTGTGAAGTAGAGGAATCCTAACGGCTTTTTCTCTTCATGTTGGCCACATTTTCTGTACTGACTATTTATTTTTCTCATTTTCAGCACTGACCTTACTGAAAGGGAAAACTTGAGGCTTATAGAAACTTGTATTTTCTGTCCTGGAGGGTTTACTAAGAAGCTGGTTCAGTTGTAAAGCAGGTTAAGTTAACCTAAAGCTTTTCTGACAGACTTTTCAAAATATTCACTAAGATCCAAATAAGATCATTAAATAATAATAAATCCTGAAACCTGATATCTGAACGTTTTTAACGTAATCTTTGCTCGGCTTGCGGGGCGCAGGCGGTTCCACGGGGAAGGGTGTGCTTAGCGGTAAAGAGAGAAAAAGAGTAAAAAGGTGCGAGTGGTTCTGAGTTGATCCCCTGTTCAG